AGGATTTCAGGGGATAGAAATATCAGCCGTTAGGGAGGTAAAAGTTTTGCGGGAATTAAGGCATCCTAATATCATTGAGGTTTGTTACTTTAGGAACTCTGGGAGTGCCGTTTATTACTTAATTTAACAGGAAAGGTAAATTGTAATATCACAAGGGGAGGGAGAAAATTACTTAATAAACGGTTCACCCCTTACATGCATATTATTATTCTTTCCCCATGACTAATATATTTTCGTTTTTAAACGCGTTTTACAGCTAATCGACATATATTCACATCAAACAAATTTACAACTTGTCCTGGAATTTTTGGATTCCGATTTAGAAATGATTATAAAGGATAAGAGTCTCGTATTTATATTGGCAGATATCAAAAGTTGGATGTTGATGACTTTGCGTGGGTTGTATCACTGCCATCAAAACTGGATTTTACATCGTGTAAGTTTAGTTAATACATAATAGTTTATATAAGTAAAGATTAGTATTCATTTTCGAATTTTGATTCGTTTTAATTTACATAAAATTAAGGATATGAAACCTAACAATTTACTTGTTGGTAGAGATGGACAATTAAAAATTGCAGACTTTGGTTTGGCGCGAGATTTTGCAGAACCACGCGTCAGAAACATGTCACCACAAGTTGTTACTAGGTATTTCATGTCCTTTTTTTTTTTTAGAATTTGAACAAGGACACAAATTTTAACAAATAATTCGTTACTCAGATGGTATCGAGCACCAGAATTATTTTTTACGCCAGCACAATATGGTTATGCAGTTGATATTTGGTCAGTAGGATGTATATTTGCGGAATTAATGTTACGAACGCCATATCTTCCGGGGGATACAGATCTTGGGCAACTTGAATTGATATTTCAAGCGTTAGGAACGCCCACAGAAGAAGATTGGCCGGTATGTTTATATCGTGAATTTGCAGATAGGTTTACGTAATAATTATAACATTTTATTGATTTTATTGATATATATTTTTAAGGGATTTACTGAACTTTCAAAGTCGGTCCAATTTCAAAAGTATACTAGAACACCATTAAAAACACTTTTTACAGCAGCAAAAAATGACGCGATAGATTTACTAGAAAAGATGTTAACATATGATCCAAACAAAAGGATCACAACGCGTGAGGTTAGAAGCAAAATATTTCATTGCACTTTTTTTTTTTTTTTAAAGCAACAATGAATCCAATATATTGATATTTTTTCAGGCTCTACTTCACCCCTATTTTCGTAATAAACCACAATGATATTAGGATGCCTTAATTCCCGCAAAACTTTTACCTCCCTAACGGCTGATATTTCTATCCCCTGAAATCCT